AATATGTTACCCATCATATATATTGAGCCACCATAAATGAGAATCCATATTCTCTTCATATAGTCAAGATAATTTTCCTAGAACATCAACAAGACAAGCTAGATACCCAATCTTCATTGAGTCCTTGGGAATTAGTAAAAAATTAGTTACATTTGGGAAACCATTGAAAAACACCTTTAGGAATAAAAAAACTCTTAAATTTGAATTTTTCAATAGTGTGGCCTTTCTTGCAACCATAGTGACAATTTAAATCATCACCAACACTAGAATCACTATCAATGTGCTCACCTTTTGAGAATATTGAACAAGAAAACCTAAGAGCTTGAGACTTTGTTCCTTCCTCCTTATTAGTGACTTTCTCCTTTTTCTTCTTCTTCTCAAGCTTTTTCTCATGCTTGTCTAAGGAGGTAAGTTCTTGCTCATGTTCTTCAAACTTACTAAACAAAGTAGTGAAATCAAGTGTTGTAAGATCATTAGCTTCCTTGATTGTCATGACATTTAGTTGCCAATTCATAGTAAGACATCTTAAAACCATGTTAGTAGAAATTGCATTGGAAATAGGATTATCAAGTGCATTCTACGATTAATGAGATTTAATGTATTTTTTATCATCATCATTCCATAGTGCTTCCAGATTAGGTGTGACACCACCATCAACTACATGTGTTCCCGGTCTTGGAAAATTTAAAATATCATCTATCACACCTTTATCATAAGATTTTACATGAATGGACATACAAACTTTCCAATAACTATAGTTTTCTCCCAAAAAATTGGGGTTGTAATCCTCTATTTTGTAATCCTCTTTAGGTTCGTACATCATTTTCTAATAAGAGTTTTGAAGCACGGAATGAACCGAAGCTCTGATACCACTTGTTATACTATTACAACTTATCTAAAGAGGTAAGGGAGTGAATATATCCCCATTTAAAAATACCTTTCAAAAATAGTTATTTAAAAACTTATTTGAAAAATAATATTGAGCGAAAGGTTTTTGGCCTAGATCAAAATAGTAGTCTAAACAAAACTAGTTATTGGAAACTCGGATATGTCAAGCCGTATGTAATTAAGATAATGATAAAATCAATCAACATAATAATATCTCAGTTAATAGTTTAATATCAAACACAACGGTTTCCTATTTCCAATGAAATTAAACAAAAATATAGAACAATGCAACTTGTCAAACACTTGGTGTCCAAACGCATTTTCATAATTTTTATTTGAGTTTTATTGATATGAAAAAGAAATTATAATCAAAGTGATTATAATATAATCAATAGACATGTTTTTAAACCAAAACAATCACATAAAAATTCTTACGAGTCGATCGATTAAGCAATAAAATTCAACAAATTGCATAGTGAAACATATAAAACAAGTAAAGAGATAAGAGAGAAAGAGAGAGAGAAAGAAAGAGAGAAATAAAAATAGAGAGAGAGAAGAGAGATAGAAAGAGTGAGAGAGTTAGAGAGTGAGACAAGTATTTGTTTAGTAAGTTCACTATTTGTCCTCGTTATGGCTACGTCTCCCTCCAATTCAGTTTTGGATTTAAGATAAATTTCTTACGTTAGAAAAAATCCAATTACAAGAGAAGTGTTCAAGAGCAACCTTACAAACCCTAACTGTTTGGTGTTGATGGAACCCCTTCTCTTCTTTTTATCTTCAACATGACCAAGACACAATAGCTTCCAATTGATTTATTGAATCTTGCTACTCCTTTGGATACCAAACTCCAAATCTCTTTCACGCACAATCAATTGTAACTATTAAACACAAGTACTTTCAATTTGATTCTTCATTCTCTCGCTACTTCCTTGGGTACCAAACTTCGGAGGCTTTTCACTTGGCCACAATTCTATTTTGAAAGTCTTGAACAAAACCCCCAAATCTACCAAAGATCGGGGATGACAAACCCTAGGATTTTATGGATGAAACCCCCCACAATTCTCAACTCAATATTCCTACTACACAAGAATCTAATTGTACTCTATCAAACCTCGCCTAGATGGAACCCCTACAAAATATGATTATGTGTGATTTGTCAGTGTGTATGCATAGATTGGAGGTTGAAAGTGAAGAGCAATTGTGGTATGTGTTTATAGTTTTATCAACTTGGAATGAAGCATGTATGATGTATTTATAGTTGGGGAACTTTGGTGCCAAAGAGGGAAACTTTAGAGTTGAAAAAATATGAAAGTTTTGACCCACATAATAGTATGTGCCGACCTGAAAAGTATGTGCCGACATAAAAATCGTATGTGCTAGTCTGAAAGATTCTATGTGTAGTACATGTGGCGACCTGAAAATTGTATGTGTCGGCCCGAAAGATTTATGTGTCAGCACAAAAATGATTTTTCATGATTTGGATCAATTTTAAACTTGTTTTAAATGCTTCCTAAGACCTCTAAAGTATGAGTGCACCAAATGAAACATAGATATCGTCCAATATATAAAAATTCTAAGTTTCCTAGTTTTGACATCATGCAAAATTTTTAATGGTGAAGTTGCACTCACACTAAGTACCTCTTTTCTATAGAACACAAGCCCTCAACAAGTCTTCTAAAGATTGGATAGTCCTTTCTGTTTGATCGTTCGTCTGTAAATGATAATCATAACTCAACAATAACTTAGCACCTAACGCCTCTTGTAAACTCTCCCAAAACCATGATGTAAACCTTGGATCTCTATCTGACACAATTCTCGAAAGAATACATGCAAACTGACAACTTTCTCAATATACAATTCGTCCAACTTCTACAAAGGATAAATGATCTTAATTGTAATAAAATGAACCGGTTTAGTCAGTCTATCAACAATAACCCATATAGAATCACATCCTTTCATCGTCTTTGGAAATTTCATCACAAAATCAATGGAAATGTTGTCTCATTTCCACTCCGGATGCTCAACAGTTGTATCAGATCCAATGACTTCTGGTGTATAATCTTTGACTTCTGATAAGTCAAACAAGCATAAACAAACTCAGCTACTTCCTTCTTCATTCATGGCCATCAAATCTTTTTCAAATCCAGATACATTTAGTAGCACCTGGATGAATACTCAAACGATTTTTATGACTCTCCTCAAGAATATTCTTCTTAAGTTCAGATATATATAGAACACAAACTCTATCTCTGAATCTTATCACACCATTCTCATCGATTATGAAATCACCGCCTTTACCTTGATTAATCAACACCAACCAGTCAATCTTTTTATATATTTTTGTATTGTTTTGAATGACAATTGTTTATACATCATTATTTATAAATAATTTACTACACAATTTTACGGGGTGTGATTATCAGAGTTTTTCAACCATCGTTAAATGAGTTTTCCGTAGTAGTGAAACCACATTTAAGCGTTATAATTTTAGAGTTTAATGATAGTCGAAGAATTGAGAAATTTTAAAAATCCCACTAAATACATATGAGCCATCAAATTTAGGTACGTCTAACTTCATACGAAGTGTGGGATGTGTTTGTGGGGTTATTGGTTTTAGGATAGGTGAGGGTGGTGGTAGAGCAGTCGTGAGGATGACAAGTTGTTCGATCATAGCATCAACTTTAGAAGAAAGTTCATCCAAACGTTATGTATTTGTTGGAGCCATAAAGGTTGAGTTGGGGCCAATAAGAGCACAAATTTGTTAGGCGTTTTTCCTTGAATTGGTAGGAAAAGGATATCCTCCTTGAGAATTTAGAGAAATTTTTTTCTAATATCTTTCATTCATGATAATTCACTCTTTATATAGCCACAAAGCATAAAATCTAATGGCTTAGTATAATAATAGATTCCACGTTCTAGGAGTGGATAATCTTATGACATCTAATGAAATCTAGGTCCAATCCTAACAACTTTTAGAAGTTTCTTATTCCTCTTCTTTAAGTGTGTGTCATCTTGTACAGAGAGGTAGCACTTTAGATAAATCTTCCAACTTTTTGGGCTTGCTAATGATTCTCTTGGGCTTGCTTACTGATGTTATTGTTTATGGGCTTGTGTTTGTGTTACTACTAACAGTAATTGCTACATAAATATAAAACAAAAAATTGTAGTAGTTATCAAATAGTTGATCATCAATATCCATATATTACCCAACAAAATATTTATGTATTTTTTTTTATATATTGATTAACTAAATTATGAATTGTATTAACCATTATATAAATCATTATTTATAAATAATTTACTATACAAAACTTTATTTTTTAATGTCAAAATACTCAATAATCAAACTATATAAATTATATAAATTAATTTTTTACACTCAATTAACTAATTTTATTTTAATATTTAAGATTACTTTTTTCGAAATAATATATATAGCACGACTCATTTCTTTTTACTATAGTATATAATAGCCAATGATAACATATAATCAACATATGGAATATAATACATGGGAGGTAGAAAAATAAAACATTGCTAGTGTATTTTAATCCAAAGGCTATAAACAATTTGTCCATTTTCATGCTTTATGGTGTTCATAACCAGGAACATTTTTCTATTAACCAAATTTTTAACATTATATAATTAAAATTATTTGAGAAAAAAAGTAGAAAAATTAAAATTAATACGTGAATAATGACATAAGGTGTAACTATGGATTTTATGTCAATATACGATTTTTGTAAAGAATATAGCATTACATTTTTTATTTTGGTAATAAAACATTACAGTTGAGTAGCAAAAAAAAAGCAAAGAAACGTGAAGAATGAATCTAGAACTAAAAACAGTAGTATTCCAATTCCAAGGTTTCTACAAATTACGGTGCATAAATGATGATCATTTAGTGACCGCCATGTAATTGGTGAATGTTTTCCATAAATAGAAACTAGTAAGTGATGATTATGTTCATGACTTCATTTCACCGCCAATGTTCACTCAAATCTCTAGAACCAAAAAGTATTATATAATGCATTCGCTCTCTTGTAGTTTCAATACAAAAATCACAAACTAAGAAATATCACTATATCCTTGTCCTAGTTCTTATCTGAAAAATGGCTCAAAGAGCTTACTCTTTCTCTGCACTTCTTCTCATTTTCAATATCCTCCTTGTGACAAATTGGCAAGCAGTTGCTGGCCGCAACATTGCGAAGAACTCTGACAATGATGACAAGAAAGAGCCTCAGTTTCTTTTCAAGCATGATCATGGTAAACTGCATTTTCCAAGCATTGGACATTTCGGATTTCCACCCTACTCCGGGCTTACTCCTAATAACCCTTTTATTGGTGGCACCGGGGGATCGGGATCAGGCTCAGGATCAGGAACTGAATCAGGATCGGGATCAGGCTCAGGATCAGGAACTGAATCAGGATCGGGATCAACAGGTCACAGTTACGTTCCTGGTGGCGATGACACTTCTATTCCAAACCCGGGCAATGAGGTTCCGATACCTGGGAGTGGTGGTGTTGGCGCTGGTAATCCATGAATTTACCCATGCATGTATGCAATAGCTAGACCTTGTTTGTGAGCTTGTGATTCTTATTAAGATCGTTTTTACTGATTTCTAGCCATCAAAATAAGTGTGCCAGTACTAGATGTACACACTAGTAGCTTGCTACTTTGCATGTAAGTGTCTTGTTTAATGTTTTCAATATGATTTAGTTTAATATTATTTGAGTTTAATTGTTCTTCGAAGTAGTTTAATATTATTTGAGTTTAATGTTTTAATTACTCTTCCAAGTAGCTGTTGATTGTGGGTCAACATTCATTCAGTAGTTTAACCTCGGACGATTGCATCTATTAATAAAGAAGGAATCAACCATCTTATTTTCACATCTTTTTCTATACTAAATAGTATATATATTATTCACCGTATTTATAATATCAACAGCATTTTTTATTAAAATAATAATATTTTTTAAAAACATATATATTTTAAATTATTTATTTTTAAAATTTATTTTATAATATAATATAAGATTGTATCATTAATCAACTTCACAATTATATTAATTACAAAAATGTATATTATTAACCATTTATTTTAGTTGTAATTCATTAAAACCCATAAAATATATACTATTAACCATGATCTTACACTAAATTATAAATGTATTAACTAACTTTTACTCTCTATTAAATAACTTTATTTTATTATTTTAAATATTTTTTATGTTTGAGAATTCATTAACTAAGTTATGAACTGTATTAATCAACTTTATACATAATATTAGCCAAAAAATTTATTTACTATATAAGATTTAATTTTTTGATATCAGAACACTCGATAACCAAACTATTAATTTTATTAACTAATTTATAACACTCAATTAACCGATTTTACTTTATACCTTAAAACATTTTTTATGTCAGAATATATATTTACCAAACTTAAAAATGTATTAATTAAGTTTTGATATTTCATTAACTAAAGTAATTTTAAAAAAATAGAAAAATATATCAAGAAATTAAAATAAAAAAATATTGTTCACATATTTGTGAACAGTACATTAGGTGTAGGTGTATGAATATGGTGTCATGCTATCATTTCTCAAGTAGGAATAAAAGGTTTAAAATCTAACCTAATAATACACATGCTTAAAAAAAACCTAACAAGGAATAACTTACTGTTATGTTTAAAGATCAGATTAAGAACATGAGCAATGAGATTGGAACTTGCACTATTAAAGAGTTATAGCAATTACAAATATGGAGGAGTGCAACATATACTACATCCATCCTCTATGTTCTAATGCTTGAGAAGCCTAAGCAAGTTGCTATTAGATGGAATAAAGGGTCTCTGCAAGATAGAAAGGCTGGTGACAGCACCAAGATGTGCAGGAGGATCTTTGACTGGGACAAGTGATGGAAGACCACCTGAAGTTGTTCAACATTGTGTGTTTTCATATGAGTTTTGAAGTGTGTCTTTCCATTTGTTGTTGTGTGTTTCCATATGCTATTGTTTATTTTCATCTGCAATATGTGTGCTTCTATTTTGTGTTTTACATTTACTCTATTTTTGTCAATTTTTAGCTAAAAAGGGGGAGTAAAGTGTTAGTATTTATGTTTGTCCTGATGTTATGTCACATGTCTTGACACGCTGATTAACAAGCTGATAGGATTGAGCTACTGCTAAGGGGAAAGTAGTTATTATGGTTGCTTGTTGTATGCAACTATTTATGGAGAGCATGATAGTCTGTCATTCTTGTTTGCTGCTGTTGCTACTACTGATGTGGTTGTGAGTAGGATATCTTACCATATGTTCTAACATCTTTCCTATTAGAACTGTGTGGAAATCCTGATGTAAGATTGATTTATCTTCTGCTGCATGTGCCTCTGACCTATGAACTTGGGTAGTTCATATTTGGTATTTTGGATTTTCTGGTATTTTAGGTATTCCCTTTGAGGGGGAGTCTTGGTCATGTGTGACAGGGTCATATTGGACATGTTTATGATGTTAGAACACATGTTTAGATATCTGTCTTCTGGAATATTGAAGATGGTGATCTGTAACTGCATGTAATCTCTTATGTATGTTTTTGTTGCAGTTTGTACAAAGTTTACATGTTTGCATGTATCTTGTATTGTGGTTTTATTCCTCTCTCCAGAGTTATTGTGCATTAGTTAGACCTGTCTGTGATGTCATACCACATGTCTGGAAATCATTCTTCCGGAGTATTGAAGATGGTGATACGTAACTGCATGTAATTTCGATGTATGTTTCTGTTGTAGTTTGTACAAACTTAACATGTTTTCATGTACCTTGTGTTGTGGTTTTATTCCTCTCTCCAGGGTTATTGTGTATTAGATGTTTTAGCTAAAATTTGTCAAAGGGGGAGATTGTTAAATTCATGGTTTTAGGTTTGGCATAAATTTTGCTAAAACATGGTTCTCAACCGATGTTGAGCAAGATGTCACAACATCTTGACCAACTGTCATGACAGGTTCTGCTGTCATGTACATCAGACAAATGTTGAGCCAAATATCTTGATATCTTGGCTTAATACACAACAAGCATTACTGTTATATCTCTTGACATACTTGATTGGTTTTTTAGAGATCTTTTTGGATATATCTCATTATTTTGTGCATGTTAACAAGATTTTATTAGGAATAAGTGCAAATTTAATTTGATTTCATAAAAAAGATCTTGGAGACTTTTTAGGAAACTTTGAAGATTTATTCCTATTTTTATGTGAATATCTTACACCTAATTTAAAACAGAAGATTGCATTTTATTTGAAGAGTTCAAGCCCATTCTGCAATAGTCTATAAATAAGGACTTGATAAACCTAAAATAGCAAGTATTCAACAAGAAAAACCTTGGGTGCAATATAAGGGTTTATGGTTTTGAAAGTCTTTTAAGGTATTTGTATTTATGTTCTTTGTATATCACTCATGTATCTTTTGATACCTTGAGGTTGACTGATTGTTCTCACTCATGAGCTTTTAAACAAGGAGTTGAATATTGTTCTTGGTTATGCTTTTAAGTAGAATTAAGTATTATTTATTTGAAGTGTAATCTTCTATTTGTTTGTTTTGATTCTAGTCACATGTGTGTGACTGTAGGTATCACTGAGGTGATTAGAACTGAGAGAGGGTTCTCATACCTAGGAGGTTCCTAGGTAGAAATTGCATATGGTAGTGATTAAGAGAGAAGTTGTAAATTTGGATTGTTTAAGTTTTGAACTAATAATATTATAGTTGATTTCCTTCCTGGCTTGGTAGCCCCCAGAGTGGGCAATGTTGCATCAAACTAGGTTAAAAATTGATTATGTTTAATTTTGTCCTATTTATTCTCTGCACAATCTCATGTTTTAGCAAGTTTTTATCAATAGATGATGCTATAGCCATTGTCTTGACATTGTGTTTTTTTTTAGACATCAGCATTAACATATGTATTGCAAGTGCAAAAATTTCACTCATAACCTGATGACCTGGTGTGATCGGTGGATCTGGAACTGACTGTTTAACGCTGGTTCGCGAAATGTCGCGGAAGCAAGAGTCGCCACCGTCTTTTATTTTCTCCAAATAGAAAGGACAAAAGCACAGAAAAATTCCTTATAGAGATTGCTCTCGGTTCGGGAGGTATATTTATAGAAAGGGAAGGTGTTAGCACCCTTTCTATCCATGGTTATCCATGGGCTCTTAGATACTTGCTCAATTGTGTTTTCAAAATTGTTTGTTTGCTTTTCAACTGTGGGTTAAAAAAAGTTTCTTTGAAAATTTCAGTTCGACTCTTGTATTAGTCCTCAAGAGTGTTTGAAAAATTGCTTTTTGAAAGCTTTTTGAAAGGTGTCGGTGTGAAAAGAAGTTTTTGATTTGTTTTGAAATTAGAGCAAGTATCTACGAGCCCATGGATAACCATGGATAGAAAGGGTGCTAACACCTTCCCTTTCTATAAATCTACTTCCCGAACCGAGAGCAATCTCTATAAGGAATTTTTCTGTGCTTTTGTCCTTTCCATTTGGAGAAAATAAAAGACGGTGGCGACTCTTGCTTCCGTGACATTTCGCGAACCAGCGTTAAACAGTCAGTTCCAGATCCACCGATCACAGAATTGGCGACTCTGCTGGGGAAATTTTGAACTATATTGGGGGTGACTCCACTGAATGCCTGGTATACCGCCGGGGAACAATCTTTAGGTCAAGACTGCCGGGGATGCTTGTTAGGAATGTCTGTATGTGCTGGGGAATGTTGAGATCTGCGGGGGTACCCAACTTCCTTAAGGCTGATAATATAGCTTTACTTGGGGAGAGTGCACTGACTTACTGGTTCACTCTCTGGGGGGTTAAGACATACTGGTTGTGCTCTTCAGCCGAACTTACCTTGGTACCTTGGTGGACAGAACAATTAGATCGCTTAGACCACTCATTATTGCCCCTGTTTCTATGGGAGAAGGCACCTGTGGGGTGCTGATAGTTGTTGATGGACAAACCTTCTTCTGGTAGGCAGGTGACAAGATGACGGGACATAGTCGTACGCTTTGATCCCTAACTTTTGCCTGGACCGCCCTTTCGGGTTTTCAGTCCACCGGGATACCCATTTTTGCCCAAGCCGCCTTTTCAGGTTTTCGACTTGCCGAGTGTACGGATTTTTTCATTTCATCCCTTCATTTTGCCCGAACCCTTTTGGTTCGTCGGGAAGCCCTTATTTTTGCCTAGGTATGTCAACCTAACGGGTCTTTGATTATACGCAGTATTTTTCGACTATGTCCATGCTCTCAGGATGTAGGGAGATGCCCCTGTTATTGATATTGCGTTGCCATACCACTAGAAGATGTCTGATCAGGCAAGATTCGTTGTTGGAATGCCCCAGGTGATCCAGATGGAGATTTGCCCCAGGCTGTTTGGCCTTTTGAGAGATTCTCCGAATCTTGACTTAACTGCCCCAGATGATGGACAATAGTCAGGCCATGCCCCTTGATTGGGAGTGCTTTTGTTCACTAGGTATTCATCGTGCGAATTTCCCTGCTGTTCAAACAAA